TTGTCCTTGTCTTCCACCATGTACATTGTCGCCGCTGACGCAACTCTATTGGAGTTGTGGCCTGCTGCTTTCCAGTACCTCTTCATCTGCAGCAACTCCTTTTGATCCCCCAAAAACTGTGGGAGCTTGTGCTGCTTTGGCTTGAACAGAGATTCGTGTCGCACCTTGCCTTTGACAGACTTCTGTCGCTCATTTGCGGCAGTGAAGCTCTGCTGGAAGCTCGTGAACGTGACTTCAGGCGTTGGAAGCTTCGCAGCGCGAAGCAACGGAGAGGTTGCGGTGTCAAAGTGCTGGGTGTCTTTACTCATGAAAGACCTCCCCTTGTTTTGCTGCCTCGACAGATGCTGGAGGTGGTTAAATTGATCTTCGAGGATGAATTTGGTGGACTGCGGACCTGCGTAGAGTCTCCACGCAAACTCCACCAGGGTCTCATCAGTCGCCGCCCATCTGCAGTCCTGCAAAGCAAAGGAAGGTCAGCAAGGGAGACGCATCAAAATACCAATTGCAGGGGCCCTTCAATGAGTCAACAATACGGCAAATTGAAAGTCAAGAATATAAAAGATCCCTAAACCCTAAACCTCAAGCACTATACCCTAAACCCCGAACGACTGAAGCAGGAATACATCCTGCCCCATCTTCATCAGCTCACGCGCAAGCTGAAGCTTGTGCCAGGCGGCCGCTTGCAAGCACGTCGCCAGTTTCTGGTTGCCCACCACCTTCTCCGCATCTAAAACCGTCTGCGTGATTCGGCGCATCTTGTTGGCAATTCCTTGGGCGGCGTCGGGGTTCTCGTGCAGGACTCCGGCCACCAGCTGCGGCAACATCACGCGATACATGCACTCGCTCCAGGACCGCGCTGCCGCAATTTCCGTCAGGAAACTGAAGAGGATCTGTGTGAGCGCCAACTCCTCCCGTGCCCAAGCATCCTCTTCGTTCACAGGAACCCTGGCTGTGAACATCCCCAGCTTCTCGAAAATCAGCGAGGAATGGAAAAGCTGCATCGTTTCGGAGATACAGCGACTGGCCTCTCCACCTCTCCACTTGCGCGAGCCGCGCTCCACCTAGCCAGCGCCAACTGCCCCCCTTGTTGATTTTGAACGTCACGGTGGAACTCTGCCTCTAGAGGCGGAGCCGCTTTTGCAGGTCCCTATCTTGCAGAAAATCTGCAGCCATGTGCCAACTGTTCTGGGTCAGCTGGCTCACCATCCTCGCCGCCAGCAGCTTGTTCATCGGCCTCCTCGTTATCATCTTCATCCTGCGCGTATGATTGTCCAAACTGCATGTCGCGCACTGAAGCCATCAAAAACCGTGAGCCCCAGCCCCGAAAATCCCAAGCCACGAGCTCTAAACCCTAAATTCTACGAAGCCCTAGGGCCTCAAACAGGGAACTCAACATCCTCAATATCCTGCACCTTACGCCTGAGTCTGAAGCCTTACAATTCGAAACTTCATCCTAGAAGGCCGTACCTCTAAACCCGCCCAGACGCTGAACCAAGGGAGGCAGAACAAAACAGGCAAGGATCCACAAGGCCGCGAGACACCAGCTCGTTGGTCACCATGGCGTTGATCGTCCAAGAAAAGTCATTCCTTCGAAGACCTGCCAACAAAGAAAACCAGCACTTGCTCCGCACCAAACTTCCACGAAGGGTGACCTTGTTGGTCTGCCAGTCACAGATCTCTCCGGCCACTTCGTCAAGTAGTGGCACGTTGCCATTGTCGAGGCACCGGTCAAAAGCAACATCGTCTAAGATGCTGTCCAAGTCGGTGCTCAAAGCAAGTGTCTGGAGAAGTTCTTCTTTGGCCTGCTGATTGCGGCCTCCCAGAAAATTGCCGTGGCTCAGATTCGCCAAGAGCGTCCCTTTGAGGGATGTCCCTTCCAAACCGGCTTGCTTGATCGCGCGCTTCGCGCAATTCCACGAACTGTGAAGGACTTCTGGGTCTGCGACCCCTCTCAGCTTGAAGTGGAAGAGCGGGGCATACAACAGTTTGAAGCCAACCGCCTCCTCGTCCGGCGCCTGGGCAGGAGCAGCGACTTAAGAAATTACTGCGCAAGACACTGTGGACATTGTGCGCACAAACGCGCTCATTCACCCACTCATTCACTCACTCACTGACTGCAACTTTGAAGCAGCCCGAAACATAGCTCTCGCGTCGAGCTCCGCTGGCTGGAGGACCAGGGGTCGTCCAGGCAGAAGTGGAAGTTCAGGCTTGAAGATGCCCAGGGTCTGCCCGGAAACAGTTGCGAATCCGTGACAGAGCATCTGCAGCAAAGCCTCAGCGAGGGAAGCATGTTCTCGGGCCTCGCTGAGTAAGTACAAGGGCTTCTATTCCTGGCAAGCTGCTACCATGGCCGCGTTGTTCTTTTTGCCCTTGCTCTTGCTTGCTGCCACCTCCCTGACAGCCCACAGTCAGTGCTGAGAAGTTTTCTGACTGCAATTTGCAGCTAGGGGGCCTTTCTCTCTCTACAGCCTGACGCGACTCGCCATCTGCAATGTAGGCGGCCACTTCCTAAGAAATTCACAGGGGACAACGAAAAAAAGGCAAGGGCCAGCTATCGCAAGAGTGTTGTTGCCACCATCTCCGCAGACAGCCTGCAGCTCACATTTTGTTCCTGGCGCTGCCACGTGGGCGCCGGTCTTTCTGGCCTGTTGCAGCGCTGGTGCTAAGCGAGCTCTAAGGTATGCTGGCCACTGGCGTCTTACCTAGTAACCTTCAACTTCAAACAGTCCTCAATTACTGTGAGGTCGGTCCCACAACGTTGCAGCACTAGGCCGGTGGTGCGGAGACCACGCAAATTGATTGGCAAAGCTGAGCTCAAGGAAAGTAACAGACTGCTGCCAGGCGTCCAAGTGCCCCATAGACACACACAGTCAGCTTTGCGCGGACTTATATGCTACTGCAAACGGAGTCAGCGAGGTTGCGTCCTAGAAAGAGGCTCTGTTTCTAGCTACCACGATGACTATACTGATTGTGCGCTTAGGAAGAAGACAACATGAGCCTGGAGTCCTGAATCACCCAACGTTCGGTAAGCACTAACACCCCACCACCCCATAAAGCCTTGTGAAGCCCTGGAGAAAACTGCGCAAGTAAACTGAGCCCCACAGCTCTCAACACCCAAGCAAAACCTCGCTGACTGGGCGTTGCGCGGGCGCTGAGGTCTTCCTGTGCCTTGCCCCTATATGCGTTGGCTCCCAGTACTCCTAGGAAAGTATTTGGTACTCTCAAACCCATGACCCTAGATTCCTAAACAAGGACGTATGGTCACAGTCAGTCAGGCTGCGCAGGCAACACACAAAGGCGCTTCAGACCCACGCAGCTGCCCTGCTAGCTTTTGTGTTGGACAGCAAAGCGTCCACCCAGCAGATAGAGACAACCTGCTAAGCGAGGCGCAACAAAATGGTCCGCCTGAATGATGCTCCACATCTGCACTCTCAGCCAAAGGACACGCAACACTTTCTGCCGACGGCACAGGGTCTAAGTCTAGGAAACGAGGAAGCTGCACTACGTGGAGGCTTCAGTCACTCAACTTAGGAACATTTCAACACTGAAGGCTGTGAGGACACAAATGACAAAACTTTCTGGTCTCTCTGCTCTAGGAACTCCAAACGCGTTGAGAACGAACCATGTTAGACTAGGAACGAGAGCCGTCAGAACTTGAACATTGAAACTTAAACTCGCGGCCCCTGAATAAACGACTTCCGCATACCCAAAAGGGAAGGCGTGGCAGACAAACCTCCAGCCCAACCCGACCCAACCCACCTCGGATCCAATGATGCTTTTTTTGGGGTCTTGGTCCGGGATGGTGCGGGGAAGGTTGGGGGTTTAAGTCTCAAATTGGATTGCACCAACCGACGGTCACTGGGTGTGTAGGGACCGAGACCTACCGAGGCCTTACCGAGGCCCTACCGAGGCCCTAGCGAGGCCCTACCAAAGCCAGGAAGGCGTCGGTAGGGCCTCGGTAAGGCCCTGGGTGATGGGGCTTGGGGCGTTCGCCTGCAAGGCTGAAACTATCCAGTCACGAGTGTGGTGCGCCTCTGCACTCGACCTCTGCGCGTGCGTGCTGGCTGTATAAGTCGCGCATCTTCCTGCTTCCGGCGCTGCGAGTGGCGGTGGGGCGGTGCTTCCAGAACCGGCTGCTGCGTTTGGAGGAACAACGGGTCCTGCGCCCCAAGCATGTTTATTCCAGACGAAACTATAGTCTACATATAACCCTCAGCCCTAGACCCAAAACTGTCGTGACTGCGGGTTTGGGTAGCCTTGCGAGATCAGCCATGGGACTTGAGGCATCCACTCGTATTTTTCTTATGCTGGGGATTGTGGAACTGAGCTGTTGGGTTTGGGTCGGGGCTGATGAAAACATGTGTCGGGCTCTCGGGAGCGCCTTTCGTCAATCCTTATGAACAGCATCCCCCTCCGTCTCTTCAACCCCATCCCCTTACAATTGCTCATCGCCGTCTTGGGCATCGTCACTGAGTCCCGTCATCGCCGTCGCCCAGTTATGCCCTTCTCCAACCGTCCTTCTCTGCGCAGCGCCCTTGTCGTCGTCACCTCGGTCGCCGTCACGATCGTCGTCTTCCGCGTCATGGTCATTATCACGCTCCATCGTCAACATCATCATCGTCATCATCATCGACCTCATCCTCATCGTTGTCGCCTCTAAGTGAATGGTGGCCCTACTTACTCCAACTCCGGCTTGTGATTACTTATGATCAGGGGTCCTCCTGGCACCGCAGCTGGAGCTGGTGCGACCGGTGGCTCTGGAAAGTAGGAGGAGGCGTAGAAGGTAGTTGAAGCCGCGCCTTCTGACACAACATCTGCCCCTGAACTATCCTGATAGATCTGCCAGCTCCGGTTGCCGGCATCGGTGAAGGAAGGCAAGTAGACCCTATCTCCACTCATATTCTGCAGGATCCACTGGTCCCCATGCGGAAGGATGCTGTGACCTCAACACTTGTCCGACGAAAAATTCCAAGCCGACTAACGCTCCGAGACATGCTCAGCTACAGGCCAACACCTCCAATCCCGGCCAACGGCTGGGCTGGGGCGGCAGTGCCAGCATTGGCAAGGTCACGCGCAGCCTCCACCAGAGCAGTCTCTGACTTGGCCCACGCCTCTTCCTTCGTCATCTTCGACTGCTTCACTTGCATGCCCTGGCGGCAGTACTCGTTCTTCAGCTGCTCCACGTGCTCAGCCTTCACGTACCTGATTACACGCATTTGGGGCCACGCAAAATTTACTAAGGTCGGGGGTGTAGATGTTGGGTGTCTAACTTCGGGGATGCGCTCGAAGTCTGTCTCAGGCTTTGGCGAGTACGGCTTGTCCTTTGGCGTAAGTCCAACCTGGGGCAGCATTGTTCTGGTGCAGCCAGCAAGCCCTCATTGATTCACTAACGTTGCTTCCGTAGCACGCTGAGGTTGCGGCAAGCTGATACAAGAATGCATCGAGATAGTGCCTGACACAACATGTTCTTTTAGTTGGACATCGAGGGTTTGAAGTTCAGTTCAGGGATTGATCAAATTTGTGCCTTAGGGTTCAGGGCCACGATGCTTTAAAGTTACCTGGGCTCCTTGTTGAGGTAGGCGCTTCCACAAAACACGGGCTCCGCGTGGCCAACCATCTCGAGAATGAGGTGGTCCGGGAACATGGACAAATTCTTGTAGGAAGACGAGTACTTCCTGGGCTGCAAAAAACAAATCTGGGCAACACCGTCTGCAACTACGCGCGCAGCAGCAGCTCTTCCGCTAACTGATGCAAAGGCTCTCCACGTTACGCCGCCTGCTTCCGCCCCCGCTGAAACTAAAGGCCTTTGCTTTCCCTGGTGCCTTCGCCTTTGCCTTGCCCCCCTCAGCCACCAAGTTCAGGTACTCAACTGCAGCTGCAGACAGCAGCGGCGGATTAGCAGCAGTTGTGGCCTTCGGGGGTGGGGGGTTAAGGGCTGCAGGGGCAGCTTTGGCCGGAGGACCTGGCACGGCTTTTGCAGGGACTGGCGGACCACTCATGATGTGATCACAAAGCGAGCACAGGGTCTAGCCAACAGAAACTGCAACAACAAACCTTGAGCATCAAGACGCAATCACGAAGAAGCATGCGTTTGCTGCAACAATCAGTCTGCGTGTGGGTGACATGCTACAATTTCAGGCCGCGGCCATGGGTGGAGCTACCGCTCCCAGATTCAGGCGCGGCGCATAGAGATACAGCAGCTCCGTCGGGCGCTTCCCAATGTTGGGCCCGTCGAAGAACACCTAGGCAGCTGCATGTAGCAAGCGACACCCATCTAGCAGCGCAACATGACACCGGTGCAGCACAACTCTTAATGCAATGGCACTTTCAATTTTTTCAACTCAAGAGCCGGTTCAGTTCTGTGACACTTGCGCACAGCGCTAGTACACGCTGCTTGGCAGCCACACACGCCAACGCAATCATCTGCACTATGGCCACGCTGGGAAGCAACATACAGTTCCCGGCCAGAAAGTTAGCCCTGCGCTCGTCCCGGATGAGGACTCTTGGAATGCCCATGGGCTCTGCGAGCTCCTTGCGGATGGGCATTCCGAGGGCTGCAAGCCGTTCTGAAGCACACATCCACCTACGGGCACACGGAAAGAACATCAATCCGCTGTTCAACCTCATCGTGGGTGTCCTTCCGCTCACTGCGCTCCACGTGAGCCACTGATCACCACTGTCTCCTAAATAAATCGCCAGGTTGGGGTCTGAGTAAGGATCCGAACCAAATCGAGCCCAATACTCAGCGCAAGCTTTCTCTAGGCTGTTCACCTCCCGCCGGTTCAACAAGTACCTCAGGTCAAACTCGTTCGGGTTGTAGACCAAGTTCCTTGTCCGGGCAACAGCTTGCGCCTCCAGGGCAACCTCCTCTGCGGTGGCGATGAGGTAGTCCTGCAGTTGCAGCAAAAAAATAACGCTAGGATTCGGGAATGGGTTGTTGGGGAAATGCCTGCTGCTAATAGTGAACGATGTTTGGAGTGGTGTCAGTTCAGGCGTGCAGTCCTGTGGCTGTGTTTGGACCCTCTCTGTGATATACTCCCGAATGAGCTCGTAGAGCTCGAAAGGATCAAAGATGCAGTCCGTGGAGGCCACATGCCGCATGATGACATAGTAGCGCTTCCTGGCGGTGCCTGCGTGGCCACAGTCAGCAGAGTCCACGAGCAGTGGATAAAGCTGGTACTCAGGCTCCATCAGGGCTTGAATCATCGGGACGTCGAAAGTCTCAGTCACATGCAAACAAGCAAAGAAAACTGACAAAACCACCAATCAACTTCCAAATTGGAAAATGCGTGTGACCTGTGCTCTTCTGTGACACATGCAGTCAAGTAACCGAAGTGTTCTCCAGGATAACAAGCTTGGTGCGCAGGGTCTTGTGTCGCTTCGCCCACGCGACGAAGATCCCACTGGTGGGACCCTCCTGCCGTCTCTTCTTGCCAGCCGTGGAAAAATCCACGCAAGGCAGTCCGCCTGTGTCCAAATCCACATCCGGCAGGCGACACTGCTGACCATTACGGTCGCATCCAACGCAAGGCAAACTGCGCTGAAGCTGAAAGCGGTCTGCCGCTGCAAGCTTCTCTCCGAAAGTCATGGAGTCGTTGAATGCCCCCTGCGGAAGCATGTCCAAAACGTTGCAAAAGATGTGGGGCCGAAGGTCGGAATGGCCTGACGCCTGATTGCACCAAAGAGCGTTGTCCAGCATGGTGTCCCAGCATCTGGGGTTGATCTCCTTAGCTGATCGTGCCAGGGTGAGCGGTTACTCTTTGGCAGGACCATGACATGTGTACAGCAACTGCCAACTGCCGCCTGAGGATCCCAGGCTGCTTGCGTTGCGATATGCACATGTTTGTCCCAGAAGCCAGACATGTTAATCACTCGTGTCATTGCCGCGAGAGCCATGTCCGAGGTGTACACTCCAGAACACGTTGAAGAAGCCGCTCTGGCCGTCGCCAGCAAGGATTTCTGCGGAAAGAGAACAGGGAACATGAAAGAATGACATAACCTACAAAACAACGGGCACCATGAAGTCCACAACTACATCACCGCAGCCACTGCCATTCTACCTGATGAATGCGCAACCCCCTGGCCTCAAGCCGTGCTCCTACCTGAGACCACGTCACCCACCATGCCATCCACAAAGCCTTGCCCGCTGCGGCCAGGCGGTTGCTGACGGCCTTCACCTGGGGGCAGAAAGGGTTTAGGGATGTCGGGGCATTAGCTTTTATTTTCATGACAGCCTGTAATGTATCAGTGCAGTTGTCGTGACAAGACAAGGCGCTGCAAAAACGCTGGAGGCTTGTGAGGAAGCAGTGTCCTGGCTGTCTTCCATCTCCACGTTGCTTGGAGCCGAACTGCATGACGCCACGCAGTCTGACTGGCTCCCTGTGCTGACAGACATGTCCCCAGTTCTGCGGCTAAAGCTGTCGGTTGTTGCAACTGACGGCTGGCCGCACGACATGACATGGCCGCTCGCAAAAGCGCTCATGGCCCTAAAAAACACCTTACGTGCCGTGAGCCCATGATGCCTGCGCGCATGGATGTCTTCTGCCAAAAACATCCTAGAGCCATGCCTGAGTGCTGGCTAGCTGATTGAACTGCCTAAGCCCGGCGCGTGCCAAAAGTTCTCTTCCTGGAACTCAGCTCTGCAGTGTCGACGATAGGCTTCCTGGGATGTGCTGTTTAGGGTTTAGGGTGTAGGGTTTAGACGGGTTTAGGGTTTGGAGGCAAGGGATTCAAACACCACAGTTACATCTCAGAACGCAAGGCAAGATTCAGCAAAGGTAGCTGCACAGAAAGACGCTTTGGTGTATCCTGCGCTGCTGTCCGTTGCGGACTTCTTAGCGGCCGCACCTTCAATCTGGGGCAACCCAGCGCGTTCGCAGGCAGTCCGAAGCAGGATAGCCTTGGGCTGCAGCGAAAGCATGCGCATGAAAACTTCTGCCTTTTCATGTGACGTGCGGAAAATGGACTGGAAAAGCCGAGTCGCCTCACCCCGGCAAATCATCTGGCATGCTTCAAAGTACGCTCCTACCTTCAGTCCCCTTCGAACTGCCACCGTGCTGCCAACTGCTTGACAGCGTTTCAAAGTGGATGGATCCGTCAAGTCAAGCATGCACGCAGGTGTGCACAAGTTGAGTACCTGCTGCATCAACTGTTCTCCAGCAATCCTCAAGAACGAAAACTTCTGCAGCACCGCGGGATTCAAACAGAAAAGAATGAACTCTGGAATGGTCATGGTCTGGCATGTGGACCGGAGCCATGCAAGGTTTGTGTCAGAAACCGAGTCCTGCCAGCTGCTCTCTAGAGTTGGCCTGATCGTTTCAGACCATACATCGCTGGAAGCAAGTGTGCCGCTGGCATTGACCTTCACCCTTTTTTGCTGCATGCCGAGCGTTGGAACATTCAAAGTGCCTGCGTGATGGCTCTCACACAACCTTCTCAAAAGCCCGTACACAATTTCAGCCGCGCGATGGAACACATCTGGGCTGAAATGTGGTAAAGTGAGCAATGCCACCAGTGTGGAAGCTAAGACCGGCGTGCTCACCGTCTTCTCATACATGGTGACCCTGCTAGGATCCTTGTTCTTCGTTTGGGCCAACTGCATGGGTGCGGGCATGTCTTGCCCATACATAGTCCGGTACGCTGACTGGATTCGATCCATTTGCTTGGCAAACTTCTGCAACCTCGATCCTGAATCACCGCTCTTCCACACCCAGGCTGTCACATCGCCGAGACTCCATTCTACGGCGCTGGTGCCCCCAGTGGGAGACACATACACGTGTGTCTGCACATCGCCGAGCGTCAACAGTCTTGTTGTCCAACTCAACTGCAGCACGCTAGCCGCAGCCATTGCTAGAGGCTGCAATTCAGAACCCACAAATATCTATGTGTGAAAGTATTCTTGTCTTTGCTGGCTATAGTACTGACCAGGCATAATCCAGAAAACGCATGAACACTGAGCCTGGTACTACTACAACTCAGTTTTCCTTAGTCTTGATCTCAAAACATCACGCATACAAATCAACAATTTCGAGGCCCTGCTGAGGTCTTGCTGGGCTTCGAGCACCTGGCAAGGGCTTACTAAGTCCTCGATGGCTCTCAGAATGGGGGGGGGGTATAGGGGGGGGGGGAGATAAGACTTTCATGATAAGAAAAAGGAGCATTATTAACTGATTGTTGGTAGATTTCTTGGGGACCAAATCCAGACATGAGGTTTAGTCAAAAAAGGTTGGCACGAAATCACATCTTTCAGGGCTGTGCATGCTTGTTTTCTCGGATTCAATGCTGAGGGTTAGACTCAATACCATTGGAATCCTTGGAATATGTTAAGGGATAGGGCAGCATCTGAGCCAAGGTTACAGCATGCCCAAATTAAATTATGTTTCCCTTCCCCCCAAACACCCAAACATAATAAATATATAAATATCCTTAAACAGCACCCCAGAATAGTGCGTCGTAGCTTACTATGTGTAGAGTTGCCTCTTGCCATCACTGGTGCCCATGATGCAAGCCACGCGCAAAGCGAAAACCCAAATGTACACGGCGAATCCGAGCAAGCTTGGTGCAAGCTGCGTGCAGGATAGTTTAGCTGTTGGAAGCACCTGAGGTTGCATAGCAATATCAGCCATCTCAGTTTGCCAGCGTCATGAGTCTTCATGAATACCGTTTTGAGCCAAACTGCCCGAGCAAGCACGGCACATGCCCCTAATCTGAGATGAAAGAATATTGGACTACCCCCCAGATGAGTCCCAAATCCTGCAGGTCGTGCTTTGCATCAACACTGTTGTGATTGGAGTTGAGACTGACTACTCCAGAGGCAGAGCGCTGGAGGAGAGGGCTTAGGGATGGGGTTGAGGTTGTAGGACTTCTAGATTTATCGTTCTCAGGATTTTGTGGACACTGAATTGCTCACTAAATCGGAGTGATTCTCCCGGCCACTACGTGGCATTCCAGACGCTGGTGGAGGCTTGAAGGCTTGTTTGTGGCATGGGGTCTTCTAGAGGGTTCAGGGGCAGATGTCCCATATATGTCCCATACCAACACCTTTCCCCCGCTCGGATCCGCAAGGTTTGTCACGTATCATCATCGAATAAGTCTTTACCTTCTGTACCTTGATCGTCAAGGATTGGGGTGCAAAAGGTTCAACTTAGGTGTGCACTGTACACCGAGTGGGCTCAGGCCTACCTAGCGTTTAGTGCGCCACGTCCTCCTGGGCACATGACTTTCCACCAAGCATGTCCTCACCAGCATGTTGGGCATCCCTCACAGCAGAGAGTAAAGCCTCAAGGTAAGTCGCATGTTTCTCATGAAGAACGTCAAGTCTTACCCTCTGTCACACCCTCCTTTTGGGCTCAACGGGTCCATGGTCTAGGGATTGATGAGCTGTTAAGGGAAGAGCGAGGAAGGGAATGCTCTGGGCTGGATTTTTGTAATTCTATGCCTGCTCTCAAAAAATCTCTATGCATTCCTCAATTATGAGGGGTCATGAGCTTCTCTCCGTTGATCCGCAAATTACATGGTCCCTAAGCACGCCCCTGGTTTGAGTTTTGAGAACCCCCCCACCCTTGCCACCTTGCAGCTAAAAACGAGGCAAGCAGCCTCCAATGACGAGTTTGCGCCCGAAAGCCTATGCACATGAACTACTCAGGGGTTGACGATCGTCTGCAAAGAAACCCTCCTCAGTTTCCGCGTGTGATGGATTCGAAGTTCGAAAAGGAGCCCGAACACCAAGACCTAAAGCGCCAAAGCCTCAAGCCCCACGTTGTGAAGACATGTAAAGCTAGTCTAATCCGATAACCCAAAAGGCGCCACCGTCTCCCAACCTAACATGTGCACCAAAACTGGGACCTACAACGACCGCAGTCCTTTCAAAAGGGACCTTGTGCATGTTCATGTAACTTCTGGCAAGGGTAGTTGAAAGCGGAGGACCGCTTGACCTTCTTCATGTTGGAGACGCTGTGCCCTTGCTGAGTTGTGGTGTTTCTCAAGGCAGGGCTGGACCCTGGGACCTTTGGGATGTAAAAGGATGATAAGAACATCATGAGTGTCCCGCTAGGGACAATTGACAAGCCCCTAATCCTGGCGGTCTGGGAAGATCTGGGAAGCTGCCATCTGCAAGAGCAACTCGAGGAAGATTGTTCCACCTTTGAGGTGCGTGGTTGAAGGTGTAGGCTAGCGGATGTGGGCTGCGGCGAGGCTTCGGAATTTCGAGCTGTCAAAAGGTTGAGTAGCAATACATGAGGGTGGATGGGTCGTCTCGTCAGCATTCTGAATTCTTTAGTCTTCCGTGCGTCATGGCATCTGTACGACAGAGGCATGGGCCCTTGCTTCGCACACACCGTGTTTGGAAAACACATTGTTTCTGGCGTAATGTAGCTTGTTTTCTGGGCATTCCTTTTGTGGGAAGCATTTGAATGCGGCCGAAAAGCAGGCATCACCACAGGAAGGGGGACGAACGCGCCTGATGCCTGTTTTGACCAGGAATCGCAATGACTGCAAACGCTTGAGGATGCGTTGTCATTTCATTTTCGAGGGTTGATATGTAGTTGAGCTGGCCGCGCCAAATCTCGATCTTGCGGTGCAGGAAGTACATTTCTTGGTATGTGCAGGAAGGTCTGGCCGTGACACCCTGGTGCTTCCCGTTCGGTTGGATCGTACAAGATCTTGTGAATCCCTGCACATACTCCCTACCCACAGCAGATGCCCGCCTCAGAAAACAGTCTTCGATATACCTAGTCTCTCCTTCATCTTGGCCCTGACCACTTACAAACAGCACCACATTCAATATCACCTATCGTGTAGATTGAATGGCAGTCCATTGCCCAATCAAGTCAGAGTACCCTGAAAGGCAGGATAGCATCCAGGGATGGGGTCTACTGGGATCATACAGCCAATGCCTACATGGCATGTTTTTGTTCCTGATCTGCCCGCTGTGGTTGTAGACCCCCCACCCCTGAATACTCAGGTTCACGGCCATCTTCCTTTCAGAGGTCCTGATACGGCAGCTCGCTTCCAAGCAGATGCTCTATAGAGGTACCTACAGGCCTACAGGGTGTCGTCGCCTGACAGACCTGTGGCGCCAAGGACAGGGCTTTAGAGAACAGCCATGCAAGTCAAATGAAATCAAACACAATTTGGGGTTGCTGCTAGGATCATTGCTATTACTTTCCTTGCTGTTTCTGTTTGGGACAGCTTGAAGATGGAATGACATCCGGTATCATCCGAGGCCTCAGACTGAGAGAGGCAGCAAACTTCTATTTCCAAATTTCCCATCAGGTACCCAGGGTAGGCCATCCATCTTTATTTAGCACCGCCCGTTGTCTGGTCAGTATGAGATCACTCTGGGTATAGGTCCGTTTTTTCTGAGCTGAAGGAGATTTCAACTGTCTTTGCTGGGCTCAGGAACCGGAAGTTGTGTCTGGCCTCGTTGGGCAAGAAAAGTCTTGGGAAAGTCTCAGAGCCCACCCACGATGACAGACAAGTAGCATTTCCATACCTCACAATACCAACACCTAACAGAACCATTTGGGAATGTCCTAAAGCAGGTCCCTGCGCTCTTGGCCCTTAATCAGAACCGATATTTAGGCAAACTATCAAACCCTAAGCCCGAAAGCTTCTTCACAGGCCTTCAGATATTCCTGGAACTTCAGGTTTTGGGATATCCGGCTTTACAGGGGTCTAAGGGTCTGTGCTTTTGGGAGATTTTTGGTTAAGGGTTCTGGTGCATCTGTTTTTCAAGCTCCGAGTCAACATTCCAGTTTCTATTTGGAGCTTTCTACGCATGTCTCTGTGGAGCTTTCTACGCATGTCCTTAAGAAACTGCTGCGACATTTATTCTTACTGCCACGCTGTTGCATATTCAGTTCAAGGTTCAGGGCGAAACTCCAAGAGCCCCCCTTATCGTTGCTACCAAGACCGGACATGAACCCAAGTCCTGGGTGCCCCGCATTTTCGGGATGTTATGGAGATTAGTATCCTCAGGCCCTGGAAGACGTTCAGTATCATTAGTACTCATATCACAACATCTCGGTGCTTTAGAGGGCAGGCTGGAGCTGGCATAGGACGTGAGATACGTCCTCTACAATCCTCAAGAGAACCCCCCAGAATTCCCTCGTCCTCGCTGTGCATCACCAGGGTCCCTAGGTGACCCCGCGGTGACCACGCAGATACACTCACATACACTGTATGCTTCAACGCCAGCGTGGGGGGCTCCTAAAGCAGAAGAGTCTGCTTTGGACACTGAGTGTCTCGACCGCTGTGCTTTACACACCGGAAATCTCAGCTGCGCTTTCGACTTTCGTTCCTAGAAGTTCCACTGCAGCGAAACTAAGTCTAATGTTCATGACTCGGGCCGTGTCATGAAAGGCAAGGTGTCATCAGCTTCACAAAGCCCTAAACCCAAAACTTGAGCTCAACCCTAAACTTTCGGCAATCTTAAGCCGGCATCATAAGGATGCATCATCTGGGCTGGGAGTATGCCATAGATCCCTGGCCTCTTGGTCCGCACCGCGGAGATAGATTCCCGCTTTTGGTAGAATTTCGGGTCGTGCAGGTTGGGGCTCGGACAGGAGTTGAAGAGATTGAAGCTTCAGGGCAGATGCCAGCTGGCTGGGGGTGAAGTCTTCTGCAAGGACGGCGAAGCTCCAGCTACCTAAATTTCAGATCGCTGTGTACATGTTCGCTTGGCGTCCACGGGTATCTAGGATAAAAGGGTTCATGTATCTATATATTGCATACGTTTGACCCCGCTGGGCCCAGATGGGCTTGAAGGTGTGTTTGTAGGAGTAGACCATGCTGAACTCGCCTTTTTGTTAAGGGCTTGTTTTTTTGTGAGGGATCGCGTACTGTGCC